TCAGTGGCAGTTGGTGACTTCTGTGTCAGTTATGCTGTGAATCCCCTCCAAGTTTGGTCTAGACTTTAACTATCCAAGGTAGTAAACCTTTTGGGGATATGGTTCAGCACATTGGATAGCTCCTTTGAAGTTTAAATTGAAGCTTGCAGCCTTTGTGCCTTGTTGGTTTGGTTCAGTATTTGTGGGAATGTTAAGGAAATGACCATTTGGGGGAGGGGGGAGGTGGAATGGAGGAAAGCTGTTTACCAAAAATATAAAATAGGTGTTCATTTTGGATTCTTCTGGTGAGAAAGAAAGAATAAATTCTCTTTGGTGGAATGTGTGTTATTTATTCATGTCTATTTTATTGGAGGTTCCCTCCAATAACCATGGAGCAGTATGATTTCTACAAGCAAGTCCTACAATGATTTTTTATGGGATGCTTGAAGCTGTAAATGTACCTGATTCAGCAAAAAAAGAAAAGTAAATTCCTCCACAAAAATGGTGTATATAGATCTGCTAAATATTTAGAACTTTCTTGTTGTGTCTGTAGTATGTATTTATAATGTGGTCCAACAGAATATAAGACATTGGTACATTTGTGGCGCATTGGATTAAACCCTTGTGCTGGCATAACTTGTGACCAAAAGGTTGGTGGTTCAAATCCGGGGAGTGGGGTGAGCTCCCATCTGTCAGCTCCAGCTTCTCATGCAGGGACATGAGAGAAGCCGCCCACAGGATGCTAACACATCCAGCCATCCCTTGGGCAACATCCTTGCATATGACCAATTCTCTCACAGCAAAAGCAAATTTGCAGTTTCTCAAGTTGCTCCTGACACAAAAATAAATCCCAAATTTGGTTTATTACTCTCTTGTTTCTCTCCATTTTTTTCTTCCAAGAAGTTCCAAAAAAGCTAGCACACATGCCATGTTTATCACAACTGGCATCTCTCAAACAAGGACCCTTTGCAATTCCTACAATTCCTTATCATGGTCTATGTTGGGTGATGCTTCTGGAAGCTGTAGCCCAAAAGATCTGGAGTACCAAAGGTCTCGATCTCTGACAGGCTTCATTATACCTTTCTCACTTAACTTGAACTCCAAGTGGGTAGGTTCAAACAATATGACTTTTCATTATGCACATTGTCAGAGAGTAATGTGGTGATTAAGTAGGGGGCTAACAGGTTTTCTTTTTCTATTATTTCTTCTTGGATGGCCACTAGCTCATTCTTTTGAGCTAGAAAGTGGGGTGGAAAATAGCTGGCAACAGCAGTGAGGGGGAGAAAAACATCAAAAGGATCTGGCTTCTGGATTGCCTTATGGATCACTGGATTCAGTACATGTCCAACTATGCCAACCCTTGCCAGCAAGCCTGCCTATATCAAAATCTTGATAACACTTTTATTTTTGCTGTCTTTCAAACCTAAAAAACATAGTTTTTCTCAGCCACTAGCATCCTATAAGATGCATCCTACACAACATTGGCCTTAATGCCTTTGCTTTGTCTCAACTAGAAGGGAGACAAACCAACAGAATGTAAGACACTATTTTATCAAGATTGGTCATTGCTCTCCTCCCAAGAAGAAAGCGTCTTCTGATTTCCTGGTTGCAGTCTGCGTCTGCAGTGATCTTTGTGCTTAGAAATACAAAGTCTGTCACTGCCTCCACATTTTCTCCCTCTATTTGCCAGTTAATTTACAATCGGTTTGGTTGCCATAATCTTGAGGTTTTTTTTAAATGTTTAACTGCAACTCAGCTTTTGAACTTTGTTCTTTGACCTTGATTAGAAGACTCCTCAGCTCCTCCTCGCTTTGGGCCATCAAAATGGTGTCATCCGCATATCTAAGATTGTTAATGTTTCGTCCAGCAATTTTAACTCCAGCCTTGGATTCATTAAGCCCCACACATTGCATGATATCTTCTACATACATGTTGAATAGGTTGGGTGAGAGTATACAACCCTGCCGTACTCCTTTCCCAATCTTGAACCAGTTGGTTGTTCCATGGTCTGTTCTTACTGTTGCTACTTGGTTGTTATACAGATTCCTCGGGAGGTGACAAGGTCCTAGGCCTTATATTATGGATTATGTATTATACCAGTCCTAGGCCTTGTATAATGAGCTGTGGAGGCAGATGATCCTCTACTGCCATCTAAAGGGCAAAATAAGTAATGGTAGTCCTACACTACTACAGCATGATTTTGGTTTATTATAAATTTGCCTTTATAACACATTAGAATATCATTAGGAGCCCCTGGTGGCGCAGAGGGTTAAACTACTGAGCTGCTCAGTTTGTTGACCAAAAGGTTGCAGGTTCAAATCCGGGGAGTAGTGTGAGCTTCCGCTGTCAGCCCCAGCTTCTGACAACCTAGCAGTTCGAAAACATGTAAATGTGAGCAGATCAGTAGGTACTGCTCCGGTGAGAAGGTAATGGTGCTCCATGCAGTCATGCCGGCCACATGACATTGGAGGTGTCTATGGACAATGCTGGCTCTTTGGCTTAGAAATGGAGATGAGCACCAACCCCCAGAGTCTGACATGACTGGACTTAATGTCAGGGGAAAACCTTTACTTTTACCTAGAATGTCATTGATTCCAACAAAGTAGTCTTAAGATATTCATTTTTTTAACTTGGTGAGTACTGTCTGTTCGAACATGTCTCATGTCTCTTTGTAGAACAATAATTGCACTTACAGTTTCCTGGAAAGCAGGGATTATATTACCATCAATTTAGTCCTATGATGCATAGCAAACACTATGACATTCTCTGGGAGGGGCTAAGGACATTGTGGTACCCACCATTAATGTGCACTCACTAATGATTTCATATTCTGCATAGCTTACACTTGAATGGCCCACATTTTTCCTACTGTATATTCTGGTGTATAAGACTACTTTTTAACCCAAGAAAATCTTCTCAAAAATCAGGGGTCGTCTTATACACAGGAGTAGTCTTATACGCAAGAGTCATCTTATACACTGGAGCAGCCTTATGCATGGGAGTCGTCTTGTATGCGGGAGTAGTCTTATATGCCGGGAGTCGTTTTATAGAGCGGGTGCTAAAACTTCCAATCCGGATTGGAGAATCTGTGGTTGCTCCATATGGTGTGGGGAGCTCAAAAATAGCAGTGGCCGCATCCCTGCCGTATGCAGCGACTGTATGAAAGCATTAAGGGCGACCCTGTACAAGTATGGTAGAAGAAAATCCATTCATCAGGATTCGTGGACTTAATGCAGTCCGGTCCCAATGGTGAGGTGAAGGGGCGTCTCACTGGGAAGGTGTAAGTGAAGGGAGGAGCACACTGCAGGCATCCGGGGTATGGAAAAAAAGAGATAGAGCGGCTCTGGGCCCAGAAAAATACAACTCTTTTACCTGTCTGGCCCGCCCTTGTATCCTATTACCATACTTCTTCCTCTGCCTCTCAGATCGCGCTCCTGAAGACTGAAGTGGTGCAGGTGTGCATATGCGAGATCTGAGAGGCAGAGAAGGAGGTACAGTAATAGGAAAATTACCATATTGAAATGAAATCTGATGCTTTAAAATTTTTTATTTGGTTTGTGTTGGAAGAGGGGTAGTTTTATACGGCGAGTATATCCCAAACTCTATATTTTAACTGGAAAAGTTGGGGGTCATTTTATACACCCAGTCATCTTATATTCTGGAATATATGGTACTCACTGAAATCACAAACCTTCCAATCTTCCTGGTTTTTAATAGGGATATTCTAGATTATGAGGCCCCTTGCGGAGATAGGGTGGCCTATAAATAAAGTATTATTTTTATAATTATTAGTATATAATAATAATTATTCTTCTTCTGCCATGCTACCTTTTCAGCTGTTTTTAAAACACCTCAGTTTCTCCTGGGATTTGTAGTTTGGTGAGGCACCAAAACTCTTTGGTAGAGAAAACTAAAAAACCTTTTAAAACTACAGCTCCTTATGGTTCCATAGCATTATGTCATGGTGGTTCAAGTGGTGTCAAACTGAAGTAATTCTACAGTGTAGATGTACCCATAGACAGGGAAATGAGTGGTTCTCAAAGGCTCCCTGGCCAATTGTCAATGGAATTTGGTGACTTCAGATTCAGCAGAGATGAACGTGCTCCAGCTTTAGGTATAAATGTTACAAGAACTAGTTTATCAGTATTGCTTTCCCTGACTGAAGGGCTTCCAAGGTTTCAAGCAGGAGTTTTCTTCCTTTCTGGAGACAGTATATACAAAACATGTGATCTGCCCCCGAATCACAATCTTTCTCCCTAAAGACCAGTTTTTGAAATTGGCCAACTGAGCAGACCCTTTGGGTTCGCTAGGTAGCAACTTGATGCATACAAACAAACTTAAGTTGGGTACCTTCAGGTTGTAACAGATTGTTTCCATTGTATGGAGAACTTAACACAAATCTCTCATTGAGTTTTCTTGGCAAGATTTGTTCAGAGGTGCTTTGCTTCGGTTTTCTCTGAGGCTGAGAGAATGTGACTCAGTCGTTTTCACTGGCCTTGTGCCAAATTCTGAATAACTATGATTAAAAAAAAGAAGCCAAGGGAATTTTTTGGGCATTGTTTGGGTTCTGCTGCCCTCTACTGGGGTAAAAATTTCAGCAGGTGGAATTCTGTCTGGATAGTTGTGAGTTTTCTGGGCGGTATGGCCATGTTCCAGAAGCATTCTCTCCTGATGTTTCACCTGCATCTATGAGGATGCCTGCCATAGATGTAGGTGAAACATCAGAAGAGAATGCTTCTGGAACATGGCCATGCAGCCTAGAAAACTCACAACTCAGTGATTCTGGCCATGAAACCCTTTGACAATATATTATTTTGTCTCTTAACACATATAAGAAATTATGACACATCTCTGACCTGCCAAGTTGTTTTTTTGCATTCTCCCACAAAATCGTACTCTGGTGAATCATATCATTTATCTATTTAGCTCAGTACAAATCATAGAACCATAGATTTATAGGACTGAAAGAGACAATAAGGGCCATCTAATCCAAGTCCCTACCAGGCAGGAATACATACTGAAATATGTCGTTTTAACTTCTAATTAAACACTTCCAGAGGAGAGTTCCCCCATCTATTCCACAGTTCTTACAGTGAAAAGGTTTTTCCTAATGTTCGGGTGGAATCCCTTCTCTTGCAATTAGATTCCACTGCAATTAAGATCCCACGGAGGTATGGACTCAGATAATGCAGTTCAAAGCAGATATTGTAGATTATCTGCCTTGATATTCCGGATTATATACCTGTGTGGAAAAGCCCTTAGGCCTCTTCCACACTGTCCTTATATTCCAGGATCTGATCCTAGAGTATCTCTTTATCCCAGATTATATTGCAGTGAAGACTCATATAATCCAGTTCAAAGTAAATAACCTGGGATCAGATCCTGGGATATAGGGCAGTGTAGAAAGGGTCTTGGGCTACATTCCTCTACATCACGTATGGTAGAGGACACTGAATTATCAGTATTCAATCGTAGCATGTGTTGCTGTTGTGTTCCTTCAAGTTATTTCTAATTTATGACTACCCAAAGGTCACAGAGTTTTCTTGGCAGAATTTGTTTTGAAGGGAGGTGCCTGTGCTCACTTCTGAGGCTGAGAAAGTGTGACTTGCCCAAACCATCACACACTCTCATTATTCCAATACACTGTTTAGAAACAGAATCACTTTAAGCTCAGATGACTTCTGTTGCAGTTATCATGATTAATTTTAATAATATCTTCATTCCAGCTATGTGTCATCCTAGCCACTCTGGAAAAAGTGGATTGAAGAAGGATATGGAATTGAGAGGCAGGACCCATCCTTAGAGGACTGCCCTTTATATCAGGACACCCACGGAACAGTATGTTTCTCTCTTTCATCTCTTGGTTCTTCAGGAAGGTAAAGGTCTCTCGCATACATAGAAGTTCTGTCTCTCACAGTTCTCATCATTCCATTCCCCAATAACACTGATCTCAGCACAGTCTTCATTTCTTTCATAGTCAGAGGGCTGTCCTATCTTCCATTTCCTAAAGAAAGGGGGCAGTCAAGTTATTCTGTTAGACATTTGGTACAATGAATAATTTCCTCCCAACTATAGCATTCTCAATTCCCAAGCATAGCCACTGTTCCTGATATTGCTGTCAGATTTCCCATTGGGAGCTTTGGAACATCACAGCCTTACTTATTACCTTTATGGTTAATAGTTCCTATTTTGTAGAAACTTAAGAAATGTTCAACAGTTTCCTAGCCAGGTACTGACCAGGCCCAAGGATCTCCTTAACTTCTGCAGATTGGTCGCCAAAACCTGTGGGTCTCCAGGCCAAAACACCTGGAGACCCACAGGTTGAGAACCACTGCTCTAACACCTCATGTCCAATAGAGGCTGGTGGTTTCCAGGTCAGTAGTGAGGTGAATATACTCTGCATTTAGTTTGAAATTTAAGGGGTTGATCAAAGTGCAGCATTCTTTACCCACGATAGATTCAGCACCTTGCATAGTAAAGGTAAATGTAACGGTTCCCCCTGTCATTAAGTCTAGTTGTGTCTGACTCTAGGGAGTGGCGCTCATCTCAATTTCTAAACCGAAGAGCCGGCATTGTCCATAGACACCTCTAAGGTCATGTGGCCAGCATGACTGCCCTGAGCACTGTTACCTTCCTGCAGAAGCAGTACCTATTGATCTATTCACATTTGCATGTTTTCAAACTGGTTTGGCAGAAGCTGGGACTAACAGTAGAAGCTCACCCTGCTCCCCAGATTTGAACCACCAACCTTTCAGTCAGCAAGTTCAGCAGCTCAAAAATTTAACCTGCTGTGCCACCAGGAGCTGACCAAAAGTGCAGAATTCTATACCCAGGATAGATTCAGAACTTTGCATAGCTCACTTAAACTCAACATGGTTTGATACTGGAGTCACCATCAAGCAACTGCCTTCCTTTCAGGACATCCCTGTATGAGTATTGTTCTTCATCATAACTTTGTTCAGTATCACTTTCCAGGTATCTGTTCTCCTTTTTTTTTCTAAAACAGATAGAGAATGGTCATCAACCTATGGACCATATTATAGTTTGAGAAAGACCCCAGTGATCACCTCCAGAAGTGGGCGAAGAGCAAAGTGAGTGAAGCTGAAATAAAAAGGTGAAGAACTATATAAAGATATGCTTAGCCATCACCACCACCCATTTTAATTTACTACATTAAAACAAAATTATCAACCAAGTTGGGTATCATGCTTCCAAATATTCCAACTTCAAATAACCTTCACTATTAGCTATAGTGGTTGCAGACTGTGGAGAGTTGTACTGAACAAAATCTGGAAGGATGTAAGATTGATATGCAGATGTACAAAATAGAGTAGGCATGGGCAAACTTCGGCCCTTCAAATGTTTTGGACTCCAATTCCCACAATTCCAAACAGCCAACTGATTTCATAATATCCAGCTTCCTGGGTCACAACCATGCCCACTGCCCTGTCTTACTTGAAGTTGGTCCTGTAATTGGTGCCATCAACCCATTGCCATTGCCCTTCATCTTTCAAATCATGGAGTCCAATCCAGTAGCGTTCACCCTTGGTGTGGGACAGGAGGAAATTCTGGAAGTCAAAACAAAAACAAAGAGATGGAAAATATGTACTGACCAGCCCTTGATGCAGCTACTATCAAGGTAGGTTTGGGAAGACATTTGCAATCATGGCAATATGGCCACAATAAATAATAATAATAATAATAATAATAACCATCATCATCATCATCATCATCATTAATTGCACTTTAGAATGGTAGGTTTCATGGCCTTCTGCAGACAATTCTGGTAAATATAGTTCAGCAAGTCAAAGATTGCTCTCGGATCATCATGACCTCTTTGTTGTTGTTCATTCGTTCAGTTGTTTCCGACTCTTCGTGACTTCATGGACCAGTCCAAGCCAGAGCTCCCTGTTGGCCGTCACCACCCCCAGCTCCTTCAAGGTCAATCCAGTCACTTCAAGGATACCATCCATCCATGTTACCCTTGGTCGGCCCCTCTTCCATTTTCCTTCAATTTTCCCCAGCATCATTGCCTTCTCTAAGCTTTCCTTTTTTCTCATGATGTGGCCAAAGTACTTCATCTTGGCCTCTACTATCCTTCCCTCCAATGAGCAGTCGGGCTTTATTTCCTGAAGTATGGACTGGTTGGATCTTCTCGCGGTCCAAGGCACTCTCAGAACTTTCCTCCAGCACTACAGTTCAAAAGCATCTATCTTCCTTCTCTCAGCCTTCCCTATGGTCCAGCTCTCACATCCGTAGGTGACTATAGGGAATACCATTGCTTGACTATGCAGATCTTTGTCGCCAGTGTGATGTCTCTACTCTTCACTATGACCTTCAGCCCTTCAGAAAACACTAACATTTTCAGAGTTGTCTGCAGGAGAATGACAGTTCATCTAATTAAATGCAGTAGCACAAATATACCTTATGATGGCTGAAACCAGAGAAATGTGAGATATCTGTTATGTGAATGGTGAGGACTGCATATCCCTAGACATTGTTGGATTGCACCTCCCAGAATTCCCCACCATTGTTACAAAATAGACACACTTCAACTTTCAGCATCCCTAGCGAGGGCTGTTGAAAATTTAAGTCCAACAGCATCTCTAGATGGCACAGTATGAGCCCCACTCTTGTGTTTAGGTTTCACGAAAGAGTTTATATACTTCTCTTACCATGCACCAGTATATTTACCTGTTCAGCCTCATCGTTGACAACCACCAGGGTTGAATTCTTTCCCTCACAATGGATCCTAGCCATGTGCCAAAGGACTTTCTGGGTGGAGAAGAAGTAACACTTGAAATGGAAGTAATCCCACTCCCTGTTTCTGGATCCACATGGGAATACTGGCAAAGAAAGAAACAGCTAGAATAAAAATCTTGCATCTTTTCCATTAAAGGCAGATCCTTGAAGTTCTGCTGCCAGTCTGTTGTATCTTACTGACTTTTTGGTTGAAGCTTTTGGTTTTACATTTGTACATTTCCAGAGGGAAAGAATATGAAAAGCATGGAAACATTACAGAAAAAGTGTGCTTACTTTCTGGCAGAAAGACCTGCTGTGTTGTGGTGGGACAGGTGTTATTAAACTGTGGTTCCTAGCATTTGTTTTACCATTAGCTGTGGTAGCTAGGGTTGCTGGAAGTTCAACAATATCTAGTGAGTCACTTGACCATAAGTTTTGTTGTAATAAATACCTAAGTGCCTAAGTTTCATTAGTTCAACTGAGGCCCCTTCTGCACTACCATAATATCCAGATTATCAAAGCAGATAATTCACATAATCTATTTAAACTGGGTTATCAGAGTCTACACTGCCATATAATCCAGTTCAAAGCAGATAATCTGGATTTTATATGGCAGTATAGAAGGGGCCTGGAGTAGTCCCTTAATATGTAAGTGCTGAGTTGAAAACCTGCCTGAAATGTGCAGCTATTGAAAGGGAAAAGATCTTTTCTGAATGTAAGACTAGAAACACTGGGATGTGGGAATTTATATTACCTGAAAGCAGGCCCGTAGCCAGGATTTCGTTTGGGGGGGGGGGCTGAATTTTTTTCGGGGGGGATTTCGGGGGGGGGGCTGAGTCTGAGTGAAAGAGGGTCTAGCCTAGCAAACCTTTTGTATCATTACCCCAATACCCCATGCATATGGGATATATTGAGTATGGTGATCAGATCATGATATGAATAAACATAACAGTTTAAATAATGCACCAGTAAGGCCTTTTCGCGAACCACCATGAGAATTTCGGGGGGGGGGGCTGAAGCCCCCCCCCCCCCCCGGCTATATGCCTGCCTGAAAGAGACTCTCATGAATGATATTAAGTTGCAAAGTCAGCCTTAAGAAATGGGGCCTCAAAGTGGAGTCCATGACATGCAAGTGTGGAGAAGAGCAAACCAAACCCCCCCAAGGGACTCGGTGCGGCTTACATGAGGCCGAGCCCACAATACATCAATAATAAAAGCAATAACAAACAACAATACAAAACAGTTAAAATAAATCTCATAAACAAAAAAAAAGCAATAAACATTGACAGTAGCACAACAACATTTAAAAACCTATGGCTGGGCCAAATGTAATAATTAAAATTTAAAAAATAATGCTGGGTATGAATAGATAAGATATAACTGGGATAGGGTTTTCAGAGAGGGATGTGGGCGTGCAGGCAATCTTAAGTCAGTAATAAAGTGCATTTGGAGGACATATTGCTGAGGGTTTCCTTATTCTGGGAAGGCACACTGGAACAATCACGTTTTCAGGCTCCTCCTAACGACTGCCTGAGTTGGGGCATGCCTGATGTCCTTGGGAAGTGAGTTCCAGAGATGAGGGGCCACCACTGAGAAGGCCTTCTCCTACATCCCCACCAATTTTGCCTGCGATGAAGGTGGGAGCGCGAGCAGGACCTCTCCAGATGATCGAAGAGGTCGTGTGGGTTCGTACACAGAAATGCGGTCATACAGGTAGGCAGGTCCCAAACCATTCAGGGCTTTGTAGGTAAGAACCTGCACCTTGAATTGGGACCGGAAAATGAACGGCAGCCAGTGGAGCTCCTTAAACAGAAGGGTTGACTGCTCCCTGTAAGGAGCACCAGTTAACAACCTGGCCGCCGCCCGTTGAACCAATTGAAATTTCTGGGCCGTTTTCAAGGGCAGCCCCACGTAGAGTGCATTACAGTAATCCAATCTGGAGGTGACTAAGGCATGGACCACCCTGGCCAGATCCAACTTCACGAGGTACGGTCGCAGCTGGCGCACGAGTCTTAATTGTGTGAAGGCCCTCCCAGCCACCACCATGCAGCCTGAGCTCTGCCACATGCACAATGGACGACCTACTTATAGCAACACCAAGTGGCCAGCTACTGGTCAAAGGACATTTAATATAATGCCAAGTTTCTAAACTTTGTGTTTTTTAAAATACATTACAATTGTACCCTTGGTTTGCTTCTTATATGAAAAATAAATAAATAGTTGAGCTCCATCTCAGATTTTGTGCAGTTCCCTTCCACAGGCATTTGACTTTAAAAGCCAAAGGAGACTTACATATTTCATTGACCGAAACCTGTTCATGCAACCTGTTCACCTCTGAAGAAAGTCTTGTTCCTAAAAGAGTCAGAAGATGCAATGCAAAATTATTACCAGCTCAGGAACTTAGAAAAGACACATAAATACTCAAAAGGTACCCTTTCTTCTTTCTAATTTAACTAACTTCAAACAACTGCAGTGGTGGCTGATGGCTTGCAGGTCACTAAAATGTCAAATGAGCTCCAGATTTTGAACTAAACTGTAATTGAAATCTACAAGGTTCTGAATTTGGGGTAGTCCTAAATTGATGGAAAAGTGGGATAATAATAATAATAATAATAATAATAATAATAATAATAATAATAATAAACTTTATTTATATATCGCTCTATCTCCCTGAGGGGGACTCAGAGTGGTTTCCAAGCAACATCACCAAAACATGCAGAGTAAACAGCATAACATAAAATTAACAAAACAACATAAGCATAAAGTTATCACAATAACACATATATATTAAAAATAATCCTGCCTGTTCAGAGCAATTGTGAGCAATAAATTCATTGTGAGTTTATTTCCACAGGGCAAATTCAGTGGGGGAACAGACTTGTGGCTACACAAAATGTGGTAGTTGTAAAATACAACTGAATTCTACATATTATACTATCCCACTCTAGTAACTTGTACATGGTACATGGTAAAAAGCCCAAATAGAAATATAAGCCTCCATTTTCACTAACATTTTTATAACACAGAGATGTAGGTATTATAAACAAAAAACCCTCTCTCTCTTTCAATCTCTTGGTCTAGCTTAGCCTTTATGGGAGACCGGGAAAAAGGGAAAATATTTCATACCTAATGAAGAGACCGAATATATTTCTATTCAGATATGTGGATCTATCTATCTATCTATCTATCTATCTATCTATCTATCTATCTATCTATCTCTGGAGTTACACTTTAAAAATCTACCTGTTCCAACTTACATACAGATTCAACTTCAAAACAAACCTAGAGAATCTATCTCATTCATAATAATAATAATAATAATAATAATAATAATAATAATAATTTTCTTTCACATCTCAAAGCAGGGCACAACATATTTAAAACACTTCATAAAACATTATGTAAAATGTACATATTAAAATGTATTTCTATGAAACATATATATTAAAATGTACAAAACAAAGATTAAAATACGGTAAACACAAGACATGAGTTTAAAACTCATAGTTAAAAATTGCCTGGGTAGAGATAGCTTTCCTAAATTTCAACAGCTGATTTAGCTGTCAGAGCTTTCCAGTAAGTTGTGCCACAGTTTTGGAGCAGCTGATGAAGAAGTCCTTTTGGTGACGGTCACCAGTCGGATTCTGGCTGGTTGGAGTAAATGTCGCTCAGAAGACTGAAGTATGTGGGGTAGAAAAGAGATTTAAAGATGGGTTTAAAGCTAACCTTAAAAACGGTGGCATAGACACCAAGAACTAGGAAGCCCTGGCCTTAGAGTGCTCTAACTGGAGGTTAGCTGTAACCAGCAGTGCTGCAGAATTCAAAGAGGCACAAATGGAAGGAGAAAGGGATAAACGTGTGAAGAGGAAGGCGCATCAAGCCAACCTTGACTGGGACTGCCTTCCACCTGGAAACTGATGCACTCACTGTGGAAGAACATGCGGATCAAGAATAGGGCTCCACAGTCACCACCTACGTATGCACCACCAAGACACTGAACTTGGAAGGCCATCATACTTGGACAATGAGAGATCACCTAAGTAAGTAAGTAAGTGGGGCAGATAGTACAGAGAAAGTGATCCTGCAGGTAAACTGGACCCAAACAATGTAGGGCTTTAAATATGTCACTTTGAGTCTCCTTAGGGAGAGATAAAGTGGGATATTAATAATAATAATAATAATAATAATAATAATAATAATAATGGAATATGTGGTATTCCTCCCATGTCTTAAGACTGGTGAAGCATGCCAGATTTAACAATAATTTTATTACCATTGGACAGCACAACTGCAAACAGTATGGTGATCAGCAGGTAAGAGAGCGCCAGCAGCAGGAAAGAGGATTTCCATTTCCCCCCAGGTTTGTGCCTGTCTTTCAAAAGAAAAGAGAGAAAATTGAATTTTACACATGATTTCTCTCCAGCAGTGGTGCTGTGAAGGCAACATTGCAAGGACATAGGAATAATACTTATTATCATTTAAAATTAGCTACCACCATGTAGGTAACATGAGCAAGAAGTTGTCATTCGAAGCTGCAGAAAATTTTCCCCATAACAATGTGGTACTATAATAAAGAATGTAGATAGCAGAGCTCTTCCACTGCATAATTTAACCACAGAGATACGAAAAACAGGTTTGTACTCACAGCATTATCTTCAGCTTATGTGTAGGAGCCCCTGGTGGCGCAATGAGTTAAACCCTTGTGCTGGCAGGACTGCTGACCGATAGGTCAGTGGTTCAAATCCAGGGAGAGCAGGTTGAGCTCCCTCTGTCAACTCCAGCTACCCATGTGGGGGCATGAGAAAAGCCTCTCACAAGAATCATAGGAAAAAAATCAAACATCCGAGTGTCACCTGAGCAACGTCCTTGCAGACGGCCAATTGTTTCACACCAGAAGCGATTTGCAGTTTCTGAAGTTGCTTCTGACATGAAAAAAAAGTTTGTGTGTAAATATGATGCCACTGAAACCATAGTTCAGAAATATTACCTATAGGAACTGGCAATATTCACCCCAACCAATTATTATTTACAGTATTTATATTCTGCCCTTCTCACCCCGCAGGGGACTCAGGGCGGATTACAATGTACATATACATGGCAACCATTCAATGCCATAGAAACACAACATATATAGACAGACACACAGAGCCTATTTAACATTCCAGCTTTTTTGATTAGTATATTCTGGCCACCAGGGGACCTGTTGCTTCACCTTCTATTTGTGACACTGATGAAGTACTTCCTCATTCTTTGCATGCTTGCTGGAGAATTTTATGGTGTTGTAAATTAGTTAAATTAGCCTATCTGCATACACGATACCTAAATTTCCTACTTGACAGATGCAACTGTCTTTCGGGCTGCAAAGGTTGACAGCAAGCTACACAAATTGGTCGGAAGCTCACTCCGACCCGGGCTGGCTTCGAACTCATGACCTTTCGGTCAGTAGTGATCTTAATGCAGCTGACTCCCAGCCAGCTGTGCTACAGTCCCAAAGGATGTCCCCCTCTCATTTTTGGTTCAGACTTTGTGAAAATAGAGAAACGTATGTTATTGTTTCTAAAAGCTATCAATATATATATATATAAAATCTATATAAATAAAAATGTAATGTTCGTTTGTGGGATTAACAGAACTCAAAAACCACTGGACGAATTGATACCAAATTTGGATACAAGACACATAACAACCCAATGTATGTCCTTCACTCAAAAAAAATTGATTTTGTCATTTGGGAGTTGTAGTTGCTGGGATTTATAGTTCACCTACAATTAAAGAGCATTCTGAACACCACCAATGATGGAATTGAAACAAACTTGGCACACAGTTCTCCCATGACCAACAGAAAATACAGGAAGGGTTTGGTGAGCAGTGTCCTTTAGTTTTGGAGTTGTAGTTCACCTACATCCAGAGATCACTGTGGACTCAAACAATGATGGATCTGGACCAAACTGTACACGAATATTCAATATGCCCAAATGTGAACACTGGTGGAGTTTGGGGAAAATAGAATCTTGACATTTGGGAGTTGTAGTTGCTAGGATTTATAGTTCATCTACAATCACAGAGCATTCTGAACCCCACCAATGATAGAATTGGGCCAAACCTCCCACACTGAACCCCCATGTGGGCCACAGCAATGCGTGGCAGGGAACGGCTAGTATTTATATAAGATTGCAAAGAAGCATTGAGACCACAGCCAAAGGTAAGAATTGGTTCTGGAATGGGTGTATAAGGAAATGCCAAAATCTTCCTCTATTTTGATTGCAGGTAGAGAAGAGCAGAAAAAAGTTATAGGAACCAGATAGAAATGAATAGAATGAAAGGCATCACACTGAGCTCCAAAGGTAGGAAAACATTCCAATGCAAATTGCTTTCTCTGTAGCAGCTCCAGCCATTACGACAAAGGCCGCCTGAATATGGAGATCAAAGTCAAAAAGCAAGGGGCAGATAGGCTCACACAGAGAACCAGAGGGCTACACAATCCACTGTGAAACAGCTATGTGACTCAGAAAGCAGAGACCTAGGGAGATCATTTGAATTACAAAATAAGAAAACAACATTTAGAGTTTCATATTGAGATGGAAATAGGTCTGCCTGGCATACAGATTACAGGAAAGTGTAATAGGAAAAGTAATGAAAGCTTCTTCACACAATAAAATAAAAATGCAAATGACTTTGTTTATACAGCAAATGTACAGTTCATGAGAGGAGAAGGTGCGAGAGAGAGTTAGAGTGCTTTGCTGGAAAATGCCGGCAGGTGGCAACAGAGAAATAACTCTGACATGCATTACACATTCCCATGCTAAAGAAGAATTTCTGTTCAGGTGATTTCAGACACTAAGACATATGGTAAGATCATTTTTTGGGAGACAATTCAAGCAGAATGTGGAAAGATGATAAACAAAAGCTCAAAGGAATGATAACCAAGGATGTTTATGATGTGCACTGCACACATTAAGATGCCCATACATGGGGAATAGCTATGTTCTGTATAGCTATGTTCCAGAAGCATTCTCTCCTGACATTTTGCCTGCATCTATGGCAGGCATCCTCAGAGGTTGTGAGGTCTGTTGGAAATGAGGAAAATAGGGTTTATAGTTTATAGCACCAGGACTGTGGCACAGCTATCTGGGAGTCTGCTGCATTAAGATCATTACTGACCGAAAGGTCATGAGTTCGAAGCCAGCCCGGGTCAGAGTGAGCTTCCAACCATTCTGTGTAGCTTGCTGTCAACCTTTGCAGCCCGAAAGACAGTTGCATCTGTCAAGTAGGAAATTGTTGCAACCCAGATCAGGAAACAAGACCATAAGATATTAATCCACCACACTTGACTGTGGGAAAAAACAATCCTTTTTTATTGATGAAAAATGGTTATAAAATAGAGGAAAAGACAAAGTCAAAAAACCACAGTAAAATTCAGCAGTCAGGAATATCTCTGAACTAGATCAAAATTCCAAAAGTAACACTATAAAAACCTGGAACCTGTTAGCATTTCACTAACCGTACTTGGAAACTAGAAGCCTCTGGGAATGCAGGCCATGGGAAACGGGAAATCTGCCAAGGTATTGCTTCAGTCTAAACGATGCTTGATCTAATGAGACAGCCCGGGGAGAGACACTTTAAACTAAAGAAACTGTTTCGGGACATGCCTCCAGGCTTTGAAGCTTGTGCCTCCCTTTACTTTAATCTGCCTGACCTTCGCAGACTCAGTGATTCACTCCTGTTTTTCCAAATCTGTCCTTTTCTATCCTCATTAAAAAAGGTAGGTGCTAGCTCCTCTGGAGAACTATCACCGCTTGATTCTGAAACATTCCCATCAGGAAATGTAGTTTCACTTTCCAAGCCACTGACCTCAGAATCAAGAGTTTCCAAACCATCAGGGGAAAAAACATGTTCAGTAGCCTGTTCAGTTACATCAGGAAATACAATCAGAGAATCAGGTTCAGGTTCACATGCAGGCTGAACCCCAACAGAAATTTAAGTACCGCCTATGCGGGGAGGCTAATTTAGCTAATTTACAATGCCATAAAAATCTCCAGCAAGCAAACAAGCAAAGAATGAGGAAGTACTCCATCAGTGTCTCAAATGGACTATAAAGCAACAGCTCCCCTGGTGGCCAGAATACCTTCATGAAAGCTGGAAAGTTAAATAGCCTCTGTGTGTCTGTCTATATACGTTGTGTGTCTATGGCATTGAATGTTTGCCATGTATATGTGCATTGTAATCTGCCCTGAGTCCCCTGTGGGGTGAGAAGGGCGGAATATAAATACTCTAAATAAATAAATAAATAAATAAATAATAAATATATCTGTGGAATGTCCAAGGTGAGAGAAATGGTTTTTATGCTTTTGGAAAATGAGTTAACAGGAAGTCATTGGTGATTATATGTTTTTAATGGTTTTTACATGGTTTTTATAATGTGTGTGAAATGTTTTTAATTATGTTTTATGAACAGTGTGACACTGAATTGTTGCCAATTTGTAAGCCGCCTCAAGTCACCTTAAATAAATAAATAAATAATTTTTTGTATTGTATTGATTTTGTATTGATTTTGTATTGTTTTTATAAGAGCAGATTTCCTGGAATACTCACAACAACCCAGTGATTCCCGTCATGAAAACCTTCAACAATACATTAAAATGAAAGTTGTGGTCAAATCTAGCAGGTGACTCTGTTATTGTGTGATTCCAACTCTACTCACAATATCTGACGGAAGCCTCTGCAGCTCCATTGGGTGTTTACCTCTCTCTGATATGTTCCTGGAGGTACTGAGGCATAAAACTAATTGGCAGTCAGTGGAATGACTTTAGTATGGATGTGATGTGTTCACTCCCGGATATTCCTATAACTAGTTGGATGCCATGTTTTGAACTAACTGAAGTTTCCGAGCTTGATACAGAGGTAGTTGAATGTGATGCACATTATACTGTAACTTTGAGGTTACCAGCATGTGCACTACTATTTTTAGGTTCTCCAACTCTCCAAAGAGGATTGAATTTTATTATTGTTTATAACTAATTTTGTTTTATTGCTGTGAACTACCTTGCACCCCACACAGGGAGATGGGTAGCACATGAATGCACCAAATAGACAGACAGATAGATAGATGATAGATCTATAGAGACGGAGACATGAGCCAACATGATAATACTTTAGCAGAAACTTATAAAAGGTATGTCACAAATATTATTTAGAGAGGCAAATGCCCTAGAAGAGAAATGGAAGAACCATACTCTTAAAGGAAATGGGAAAATACATGTTCCTAGGTGAGGAATTTTCTGATAAGAACTGGGGATAAGCTGCTATATAGAAGAGATTGCCAGCCAAAGTCAAGAAAATAAGGGCATATCAACATACTTGGTGGTTCCCTTGTTTTTTAAAGTGCTTCATGACATACTGACTTTCACAGTTCAACCTTGAAGTTAAAATGATGTCTGGGCTTAATGCAGACATCAGAACTCCCCTTCTCATAATAAGTTTGTCCTCACCCTTAAGCCCAAATCATATTTATAGTGAATATTTACCTCTTATTCTTGGTTCCATGGCTGCCCAGGTTCCTTCTGAAGATTCTTGGTCTGTGTTTTCCTGTTGTTTGTAAAGAACAGCATCTTGAACCATGTTGCTTCTGTCTTAAAGTTTCTCTCCCTGATGGTGTTTATACCATGACCAACAAACTGAGTAACCCTTTTCAGGAAGCAAGACAATTTAGTCCCAGTTTGCTGTTTCTTAAAAAGGGGAAGTCCAGCCAAAGGAAGGACATGGCCATGGCATTCCAGAGCTTTAAGAATCAAACCTCTATCACAATGTACACTTAGAGTAGGACCTTAGAGTAGAAAATCATAGAAGGGACCTCAAGAGCTACTTAGTCCCATCCTTGCCATTAAGGAATACACATATAAAGCATCCCTGAAAGATGCCCATTTGACCTCTGTTTAAAGATAGATGGCACCACCCGTTGAAGCAGTCCATTTCAGTGTCAAATAACTCTTACAGCAAAAAAATTCTTCCAATGCCAATCTTGAGAAAATGGCCATGACAGGCTCATTCCATCAGGTTTTCTTATGAATCTGTCAGTCCACTCATTATATTGTTCTTTGGCATCTGGTCAGCTGGGATTCCTGGGAAAGGATGAATCGAGCAACAGAAAGATAGGAAGCAACCAAATAAACTATTTGGAGAAAGAGGAGAAAAGGGCAACTCAAGCACCAAGGCTTATCAAACTCTAGATGCCTAATGGTGGAATATCAGTTACATACAATAATATCTCTAATATAATATGTTTAATGGTTTATTGGCCACTGCAAATCATTCAAATTCACATCTAAGCTAGTGAATCACTAGTGTTTGTAAATGTAATAAAAAACATTATGGTAGGGTTGCTGTAAGTTTTCCGGGCTGTCTGGCCATGTTTCAGAAGCATTCTCTCCTGACGTTTCACCCGCATCTATGGCAGGCATCCTCAGAGGTTGTGAGGTCTCTTGGAAACTAGGAAAATGGAGTTTGTGGAATGTCCAGGGTGGGAGAAAGAATTCTTGTCTGTTGGAGGTAGGTGTGAATGTCTCACTTGGCCACCTTGATTAGCATTTAATGGCCTGGCAGTTTCAAGGTCTGGCTTCTTACTGCGTGGGGGAATCCTTTGTTGAGAGGTGGTTAGCTGTCCCTAATTGCTTTTTTTTGTCTGGCATTCCCCTGTGTTTGAGTGTTGTTCTTTATTTACTGTTATGATTTTAGAGGATTCTTTAAATACTGGTAGCCAGATTTTGTTCATTTTCATGGTTTCTTCCTTTCTGTTGAAATTGTCCATATCATTGTGGATTTCAATGGCTTCTCTGTGTATTCCGACATGGTGGTTGTCAAAGTGATCCAGCATTTCTGTGTTCTCAAGTGATATAATGTATCCAGGTTGGCAGACTATTTCAACCAGAGAAGTCAGTCATAGCAAAGCACTTGATGAACCAACCAATTATTATTGCAAAGGCTGGATGGCCCCTGGGGTCTTCCACTGAAATACTGTTAAGTTTATGTTAGTTAAAATTGTTCTTCATTTTAAACATTATATTGTTCTTTCTTTCTTTCTTTCTTTCTTTCTTTCTTTCTTTCTTCTTTGCACTACAAACAAGATATGTGCAGTGTGCACAGGAATTTGTTTATGTTTTTTAATTAGTTCACACAAACATTCTCCATCCATCTGTCAGATTTTAAAATGAAAGGGCGGCCTTTGTGTCCAAAAGTTTCCTGGGGCTCCATGAGAAACTTTTCCAGCTTTAGAAGTTTGAAAACCCCTGCTTTAGATGGGGGATGTCTTCTCCCCTCTGAGATATAATTCTTTTTTTCAAAATTGAAATCCTATTTATGTGGAGGAATCCCAAAAGGCCATTAACTTGGTCTAATCAAGCTTCCAAAGAACATGGCATCCATGAAATGGAAAAATAAAAGAACAAATTGATTTTGAATAATCTGCATCGAATTCAGGGTAACTCTAGTGTCCACTACGTGTATTTGGTAAGAATATGCAAGAATATCTTGTCACCTGGCATTAATTTTCGTGCAGCTGATAATCATTTATTATTATTATTATTATTATTATTATTATTATTATTATTATTATTATTATCATCCTCCTCCTCCTCCTCATCATCATCATCATTTAAATATTTTTATTGAAAGTTTATAATACATATTAGTCTAAAATTGAGACAGGGAAAGTTAAGGGTTGGGAAAGGTAGATTAAGGATGGAAGTGGGAGAAGAATAACAAAATAAAAGGGGGATAGTTATATAGATAAAGGTAAAGGTTTCCCCTGACATTAAGTCCAGTTGTGTCCAACTCTGGGGTTGGTGCTCACCCCTATTTCTGAGCTGAAGAGCTAGCTTTTTCTGTAGACACCTCCAAGGTCATGTGGCCAGCATGACTGCATGAAACACTGTTACTTTATTTGTATCCATCTTGATATCTACTATCCTCAGTAAAAAAAAATTTCTGGTTTCATTAATATATTTATTTGAATTTATTTCCAGTATTTTTTAGCTTCTTTACACATCCATCACATGTGGTAGAAAGTGCCTTCTTGCTTGTCACATTTCCAGCATTTGCTTTGTACATTCTTATATATCTTACCCAATTTCTGCAGAGTAATACACCATTGATACATCAATTTATACCAAAATGAATGAATTTCAGTTTATGGTTCCATATACATTCCTCTAATTTTATTGTCCGGCCTATATTGTCTGGCTGAAGAACAGGAAATGGAAGGTTTGTGGACAGGAAAAGGGATTTAAAGATGAGCTTAAAGCCAATCTTAAAAACTGTGGCATAGACACTGAGAACTGGGAAGCCTGGGCCCTTGAGCGTTCTAATTGGAGATCAGCTGTTACCAACAGTGTTGTGGAATTTGAAGGGGCACGAATGGAGGGTGAAAGGGAGAAACGCATCAAGAGGAAAGGTGTATCAAGCCAACCTGACTGGGAATGCCTTCCATCTGGAAACTGATGTCCTCACTGCGGAAGAACATGTGGGTCAAGAACAGATCTCCACAGTCACCTATGAACCCACCACCAAGACCATATGCTTGGAAGGACATCCTACTTAGATACGAGTAATTGCCGACAATGATGATATATGATGATATATGATATAATAATGATGTCTCTGGGATTCCTTTTTGGAGATGAAAATGGGAGAAGTACAAGGTGCGTACCTACACGATGGAATTAATGCAGGTTGACACCGCTTTAATTGTCATGGTGCAATACTATGGGTTTGTAATTTGGCAAAGCTCCAACCCTTTCTTTTTGCAAAGATTAAACAAAATGACTGCATAGCACTTAGCCAAGGCAGTTAAAGCAATGTCAAACTTCATTAATTTGACAGCATACATGCACCTTGGGTGGTGGAAGTTGTTATCTGTTCTCTTTCTTCAGAAAACGTTGCTCTTGAACATCAAACTGGTAAATGAAATTTATTATAGGCAAATTGAGGTTTTCAGTAAACAACCCTACATGCTGATGAGTTCCAAGCTAATTAGCACTCATATTTTTACAAGCACAATCTGACTGAAATTTATTTTCCTTCTGCTTCACATTTGTTTCAGTTGTACTTTGTTTCATGCCGATCAAGACAACTATTTCAACTGTGTCTTAATTTCAACCTGAGACCTGCATGCAATAAACTGCTTGTATGCACTTGTTCCCAGAATGCCAATCACTACGTCCTGAAACATTGTATTTGAGCAAAGTCATACTGAGAAGAAATATGAATATATACTGAAGCATTTAAAAGGTGGGTTCAGAAGCTTTGATTTGCAGCGTGGCTCAGTCCTGCTGGAATGTGTTTTCCTGTCCCAAGGCTCAATTTTGAAATGTTTTTAAATACAAGACTGGATGGAAAGAGTATTCAGAAACATTAAAACATCCTGTTTCTTAAATGCTGTGGAACTCTGAGAATCCTGTAAAAAATTAAGATTTATTTTGCATAAAATTTGCATGTAAGCATTTAGTACAGTCATGAGCATTTTCTATGCAGGAAACAGCATTTTCTGCACAGAATTTTTCTGTTAGAAAATGCTGTTTTCTACACAAAAAGTGTAGTTTTCCATACAGTGAGTGCAGTTTTCTGAACAAAAAACCCCACATACAACTTTTGTGCAGAATAAATCTCAAATTACAAATAGTCCAATAGTGTAAAATATTTCTAAAATTACTTCTTATTAACTTTAAGAAAGAGAACAGTGAAGAATTATATCCCTAGGATTAAAAAATATATCTGTGGAGTCTCCCATTATTGATTAATTACCAAGGCTGCTCTTTAGTTAGAGATAAGAGTGTTTCAAGATATGGTTAATGTTTTGAATCTTGGTGTGTATATAATTCTCAAGAAATTAGGCACTGCCAATTAGCCTCTAAAAGAAATAAATAGCATTCTCAGTGTTCTTGAACAGCAATTCGCATGACCTCCTTAACTTTGGCTGTACTGGTCAAACTGATGGACACTGCGATCAGATACTAGAGAGTCATAGATTGAGAGACAGAGATTCTTAAAGTGTATTTGTCAGATTTAATGATGTTAGAAGATGGCTGTGTGGATTATTTAGATAAGAAGAGTTTACTTGAACAGCAATTGTGTATACATTTACATTGGGTAAGTCCCACTGTCTTAAGTGGACATTCCTACTGAGGAAACATTGTATCACATTTTCTATGGGGAAAAAATCACTTTAAGCTATGATACCATCCAGTTCTGCAGCATTCTTGTTCGGTGATTTTATGAAGTACATTGTGTAGACAGACCTACTATTCTCTGAAGCTAGAAGGGCATGCAGAATGGCTCCCAGCCTCATGGTTCTTCATGAAGGCAAAGGTTTCTCACATATATACAAGCCTTTATTGTTACAAGCCACATCATTCCATTCCCCAAGTACTCCCATTTCAGCACAGTCTTCTTGGTTTTGATAGTCATTGGGTTCACCCTGTTTCCAGTTCCTAAATGAGGAGAACAGTAAAATTATTCTGGCAGAAATATGAGAAACAAAAATAATTCCTCTTTATAGCATCATTAGTTCTAAAACATAGCCAAGCTATCCCATCTACATGCCTCTAGATTTTCCCCAGGGAGTTTTGGCAAATCCACTTATTTATTTATTACATGTTGACCCCTCAGGGTATTCCTCAGGGATTGGCGCAACTGATATGATCATGTCATCTAACATGTCTGAGAATTTAGTCCAATCTGCCTTTCTGAAGTTGAAGAGTGAAAGGACCAAGGCAGTGACATCTCCGGCCCATCCTCTGTTTGGGTATCAGCCAGCATGCCAATGATTTAAATCAAGAAATAGTTTTCTAAGATCTACAGAGACACTTGCTGGAACACCTCAGCAGGTGAGAGTCCAAAAGTGGCAGGCTCAAACCCAGAACCTCAATCAATGGCTGATCCCCAATGAGAGACTCCCCCCTGGGCACACAGAGGACTGGGCGACTTGGAAGACGCTGAACAGACTGCGGTCTGGCACCACGAGATGCAGAGCCAACCTTAAGAAATGGGGCTACAAAGTGGAATCCATGACATGCGAGTGTGGAGAAGAGCAAACCACAGACCACTTGCTGCAATGCAACCTGAGCCCTGCTACATGCACAATGGAGGACCTTCTTGCGGCAACACCAGAGGCACTCCAAGGGGCCAGCTACTGGTCAAAGGCCATTTAATAGAATACCAAGTCTGCAAACTTTGTGTTTTGTTTGTTTGTTTGTCTGTTTTTTAATGCAATACAACTGTTTTGGTTAGCTCCTGACACGATAAATAAATACCCGTCAGGGTACTCAAGACAATGCAAACAAGGCTTCCAGTAGTCTTCTAACAACTGAACAAATTGAGACCAAAGTGGCCTTTGGAGCCACAGTGGCTGGTGGCGATAGTGTCGGTGGGGTGGTGAATCCACTCTGTGTTTTGCCTTCTTTCCCCAAAAATAAGACTTACCCCAAAATAATTCCTAGCATGTTTTTTCAGGATTTTTAAGAATGCTTGAAATATAAGCCCTACTCCAAAAACAAGCCCCAGTTACGGTTAATTAAAAAATCACTTTAAATAGTGTCCACTTTATGAAAACATTTGACAACACAATTTAAATAGTATCCACTTCAGGCATCTATATATATACAAAAAGTAAATTCAGTTGGTAATTGAATGCAGCAGTACATATAAATACCAAGGAAAGAAGATTGTTTTTGGTTTCTTGGGGTCTTTTGGTTTCTTGGGATCTTTTGGGGGTGTCCCTCATAGAGGACAACAGACACCCCCGGAGGAATTGCACTCAAAAGACCCCAAGAAACCCAAAACAATAAGATTGGATCTCACACACAGATTGGGTATTCCCACTGGTGTCACTCCTGTCACAGACCTATTATGTCCTGTCAGGTCCCTTGACATTCCAGCTGCTCTCTTCCACATTCCACTGCAGCCAAGTGTAGTCGTTGGCTCCCCTGGTAACCGGAATAAGCCACAAAGCATGAATGATCTTGGGAATGGAGCGATGCCAGTGGGACTACCTGATCTGTGTGTGAGAGCCCAACACTTACCAAACCTTATTGTTTTGGGTTTCTTGGTGTCTTCTGAGTGCAATTCTTTTGGGGGTGTCTGTTTTCCTTGGTAATGGGTTTATCTACCATTTACTGTGGCACAGTATCATATGTAAACAGATAAACAAGAAACATGACATGACTATTGTTAAGGTTTCTATAAAACCAGGAGTAAATTTTGTGTGGGATTACTACCTTCTCTGCACCAGGTGTGTTCGGAGAAAAAGGACTCATTCTGGTGTTTATTATATGCAGGCTACATGAATGTGCTCATTAAGGCCAGTAAGTTTGGGGCACTCCTGGTGGGGTATAACTGGGTGTCTTTTGGGATACATGATGCATGCTCTCCCTCACTCACTCTCTGGGGATGGAAGTTGGAGACACCATGCCATCTGTGTTGATATTATACATCCAAAGACTATGAGAAGGGTGGGGTAAAAATGTTCGAAATAAAATAATAATAATAATAATAATAATAATAATAATAATAATAATAATAATAAATATGCGAGTTCTGTTACTCTGAAGGACTGTTATTTTGAGGAAATGCTACAAGCTTATTTTGGTGTTTTGAAATCTGCTGAACAAGAGTAAATGTATGTTTCTTCCTCCTATGTCTTTGAAGGACAAGCTTCTATATTATCTGCAACAACTACAGTCTTTCCTGTTGAAAGTGTTGCTGTGCATTTTTCAGGCTGTATGGCTATGTTTCAGTAGCATTCACTCCTCAGGTTTCGCCCACATCTGTGGTTGGCATCTTCAGAGGTTCTGTTGGCAATGAGGCAAGTGGAGTGTACATATACTTGTGGAGTGTCCAGGGTGGGAGAAAGAACCTTTGTCTTCTTCTTCCATCTCCTTCTCTTTCTCCAAAAAGGAGAGTTGTTTTGCAAGCAATATTGCAACATTGGTTATTTTGGAAGCGATACTGAGCAATCCACATTATTTTTGCAAGAACATGTTGCATAACAATGTATTTCTAATCACAAATATTATGCCAAATTTGTTGAAATTTCCTCTGGCATACGTTATTAATTCCCACATGCAAGAATGAAATATGTGAAGCAACCAGAGGAGCAAGGAGAAAGAGCAACGACCCTGCTCTGGTACGGCTAAGCAGGTGGGCCCCATATGGGACAGCTTTAGTGGTCCATGGCATCCTACCTTTCGGTAGAAGCATTGGCAACAGTAATCCACGCAACAGTCACCACGAGGTTGGACTATTGCAATGCCTTATATGCTGGCCTTCCGAAGTCAACGACCCAGAAGATTCGGATGGTCCAAAATGTGGCAGCCAGGCTGCTAGCGGGATCATCTATAAGATCCCATATTACACCGATTCTGCAACAACTGCATTGGCTACCAATAGAACATCGGATCTCTTACAAGATACTGATCCTGACATTTAGAGCTCAAAATGGCCAAGGACCTTTATATCTTAGGGACCGCCTCATTCCTTTTCCCCATCAGTGGTCACCTCGATCCACCCAGGAAAATCTCCTCTACATACCGGGTCCTAGGGAGGCACATTTGGAAGCTACAAGGCATAGAGCTTTTTCGATCTATGCTCCAATTCTGTGGAACTCATTGCCTCCATATATTAGAGCATGGTCGGAGTTGCAACCTTTTGCAAAGGCGCTCAAGACTTGGCTGTTTGGTTGTGCATTTAAGTAACCGGATCAAATTTTGCCATAGTCACTGATGAATGTTTTTATGTTGAATGTTTTTATATTTAATGTTTTATATTGTGTATAAACTGTTTTAAATTGTAAGTCGCTCGGAGCACTTTGGTGGAGAGCGACTAATTAAGAAATAAAGTGATGATGATGATGATCTTCCTCTCTAACTGGGGGTGAAAGGGCTATTCTTTCTCTCATGCTATATCATATTTTTTCTTGTATAGGACTTATTCTGTGTCCTCCAAACTTATTAGTATGGGGAACATTTCGCCATCTTTCCCCCCTGTTACCTCAACTTTTTGAGGCCCAGTAGAAGCTTTTTTTTTAACCTAAACAAGACATGGCCAAAAGTTTCTTGTTGTTTTGTAAGAAAGGTCTAAACAGTTCTGTGGGGCAGAATTCCTCTTTCCAGAATCATTAGACGGTGAGTAGTTTATCAAAACACTTTTCTAGAAATAAGGGTGCAGATGTGATGAAAGGTCCCACCAGGGCCTCTGATGTTTTCCTTTTAACCTTCAGGCCACACTTTCTCCACCAACCCAAGTATAAAAAGTGAGCATAAAGGATAAAGATAGTCACTGTGGTAATCTGCTCTGAATACATCCTGCCACCAAAACCCTAGAAGAGGGTCACCATAAGTTGGAACTCTGGTTTACCTGAGTTACTATACATACTCAGGCATATGTCGACCCTGTGAATAAGTCACGGTCAGATTTTGTGCCCCAAAATAATGGATTTTAATATGACCTGTGTATAAGTCAAAGGCCATTCTGCAGAGAGGAGAAAGATCCAGCACCATTGCAAGGGCCAGCTACCCTGGTCACCACTGCCATGTCCCCACCCAGGCATTCAAAAGGGCCAGAAGTACTTCCCTATTGAAGACAGTAGAAGGGATCACTAATTCTTTTAAGTTCAAAGCCCTCATCTCAGAAAAGTTGATGGGTTTTTAAAAAATAAGAGTTAAAGTATAGCACTGTATTTACATTGACCCATGGATAAGTCAATTCAGTGTTTGGGGTGAATTTTTGCCACCAATATTTGGCTAAAATTTCTAAACTTATCCATGAATATATACAGTAATTTAGTATGCCAAGATGACCCATCTAACCTAATAACTTGTTTTGCTACCTTCCCAACACTTTAAAGTTGGTACGTTTGCCAAACACCTGAAAGGCTACAAAAACATGCAAGTTATCCTGTGTTTGGATTGGTTCTTTTTTCAACCATTTTCACTGCTGTGTCTTACTTGAAGCCAGTTCTGTAATTGGTGCCATCAACCCAGGTCCATTGTCCTTCGGTTTTCCCATCAGTGAGTCCGAGCCAGAAGCGACGGCCCCTGCTTTGAGACTGGATGAAATTCTATAAAGGAAAAAGAAGGGCCATGGGGGCACGGATGAAAAGAAACCTGCTATCTGCACAGAAGGGTTATTTCTTGTCTCTGTTTGATTCCCACCCTATTCCATAAACTGTTTTGAGTAGGGATGCTTTGCCCTATCTATCCTTGCTGCTGCTCTGTTTTAAATTATTTCCCTTCTACTTCTCAAATTGAAGAAAACTCAAGCAGAATTTCTCCTGCCAATTCAAATATCTTTTAAAGCCGGATAGATGGTAGCTTAGAAAGCAATTTGCAAGTGGAAAAGTAGTAGGAAGAAAGTTTTTTGAAGCACTCCTCTTGCCGTATTCCTACTTCTAGGGCTCCCCCGACAAAGCTGTATGGCTGTGTAGGGATTATGTTATCGTTTCCACATGTTGTTTAATTTTGCCCTCACTTCTGTGTCCTTCTATAAGCATCTTTACCTGTTTAGCCATATCGTGAATGACTACCAAGCTTGCATTCTTTTCCGTACAGTGATCTTGAGCTGTGTGCCAAGTAGCATCAATGACAGAGAAGTAGTAACATCCACCGTGGAAGTATTCCCATTCCCTTTTTCTAGAGCCACATGGAAACACTAGAAAAGAAGGATAAGTTTAGAATTTAAAAATCTTGATGGCTGGTTTGTACCTTAAAGCAAAAGGAGAGCTTCTTAAGTCTTCCCACAAGTCACATCCATCTTTTTGGGTGTTCTGAGCGGGTGAGGTTCTGGTCTTAATGCTTGCACTTTATTATGTCTGCCAGGCCCGTTGCCAGGATTTTGGTTTGGGGGGGGGGGCTGAGTCTGAGTGAAAGAGGGTCTACGCTAGCAAACCTTTTGTATAGTTACCCCAATATCCCCATGCATATGAGATATATTGAACATGGTGATCAGATCATGATATGAATAAGCATAACAGTTTAAATAATGCACCAGTAAGGCCTTTTCATAGACCACCATGAGAATTTCGAGGGGGGGGGGGATGAAGCCCCCAAAGCCCCCCCCCCCCCCGGCTACATGCCTGATGTCTGCAAAGATGCAGCTGGCCTACAGTGGAAAGTAGAAGGTTGTAACATAGGCCCCGATCACACTGCAGATTTTGGTACTACTTTAACTGCGTTGACTTCATCCTATGGAACCTTGGGATTTGTAGTTTGTTCAGAGGCACCAGAAGAGCTCTCTGGCTAAGAATTAAAAGTCCTCCTCCCTGAAATGCCAATCCCAGGACTTGACAGGACAAAACTATGGCTGTCAAGGTGAAATAAAATGCTGTAATTAGATAATATAAAAGGGCCATTGAATTAAGTGTCTCATGTGGAGATATAACTGAGCATCATAAACAGATAGAATAGTCAGGAAAGAATTAATTCTCAAAACATCTGTGAAAATTCAGTTATTCTCAAATAATACTGGGTATAGGTTTGAGCTTGAGGGCTAGACAAAGGGCCCTTCCACACTGCCCTATGTCCCAGAATATCAAGCCAGAAAATCCCACAATATCTGCTTTGAATTGGGTTATCTGAGTTCACACTCAGATAATGTGGGATTTTCTGCCTTGATATTCTGGGATACAGGGCTGTGTGGAAGGGCCCTGAGTGCTGGATTTCCACAGTGAAGGAGTGGAATTCGCTTTTGCCCCTGAGTATCTCAAAATGTGTTCCACAGAGGTGCAATGCACACACACCCAAAATCAAGGGTTCTCAAACTTTTTCAGCCATGGACCCCTTTTTGAAGCAACAGTTTCTTGTGGAACCCCAATAAATGTTTATATATTATATTATATATTATATATAATGTATATATATCAGGCACGGGCAAACTTTTTGACCAACATAAACTTAACAGCCTTTCAGTGGAAGACCCCAGGGACCAAGCAGGAAAAGCACAATCATAGCACTCTCTGAGCCGTGGGAGGGAAATAAGATTTTGGAAGCAAGCAAGGCAAGGGGGAAAGGATCTGGGCAGCATAGAAGACAAAGAAACGAAAGGCTTTGGAGGGTGAGGGAGTTGGGGGAAAAGGGTTTTGTGGGTGAGGGAGTGAGGAAAAAAGCCTTTGGGGGCAAGGGAAGCAGAGGAGGGGGAGGAGCAGGAAAGAGGAGGAAAAGCTTGGCGGGGAGGAGGGGAGGAGAAGGAAGGGAGGAAGAGGAAGAAATAAAATCCAGAGCCCCTCAGTATACTTTGCAGAGCCCCAAGGGCTCAGCAGAGCACACTTTGAGAACTGCTGACCTAAACTGCAGGCCAAAGTCCCAGTACTACTACGATTAATATTGTTTGGCAGGGGGAAGAGAGTTACAAATACAGATATAAAGGAAGTCACATTTGGGTTAATGATAAGACAAGGTTCCTGAGCACCAGGCCCATAGCCAGGATTTCGATTCGGGGTGTGTGTGAGTTTTTTTCAGGGGGGGTTCGGGGGGGGCTGAGTTTCGGGGGGGCTGAGGCTGAGTGAAAGAGGGTCTAGCCTAGCAAACCTTTTGTATCATTACCCCAATACCCTCATGCATATGGGATATATTGAGTATGGTGATCAGATCATGATATGAATAAACATAACAGTTTAAATAATGCACCAGTAAGGCCTTTTCGCGAACCACCATGAGAATTTCGGGGGGGGGGAGGGGGGTGAAGCCCCTCAAGCCCCCCCCCCCTCCGGCTACATGCCTGCTGAGCACATGAATTTATAGCTCGTATTTAATTCACAAGCCAATGACTTAGACCCCTTCAAACAGAACCTGACTCCCTTCTTTATCTATGGATAATGAGATGTTGTGCTTATTGTATCCTTTTTTAAAAGTCTCTTCACAATGTCAGGACAAATTGTGTACCAAGAAAACCTTGGGGTTAATGGCCCCTATATGCATATTAGGAAACACATTGCACAATTTGTTGACCAGCTGGAATTGTTTTATGCTGAAATGACTAATGTTAAATCTGTATTTCCTCCTGTTCCCCAGCCCTTTTACTCTAGCTGGTTCGAAAAAATTAAAACAGATTCAAAACTAATCTAGCATTTAAAATGGCAACTCGTTTCCAGCTGCCCAATCAAAAGTCTTGTCCAGCTCTGCTAACCAAAAATGTGTGAACTGGAAATGCTGAGAACTCAACCTTAGGAGTTCATACATATGTTGTATATGTTCTGTTGTTGTGTGCCTTGAAGTTGTTTCTGCAGTAGCCCTAAAGTAACCACCATATCATGTTTTTTCCCCATCAAGATTGCTTCTGGGAAGTTTGGCTTTGCCTTCATCTGGATTATATGGCAATGTAGAAGAGGCCTGGGGCTAAGGCCCCTTCTACATACAATCCAGATTATATCTGCAAAATACTCCAGATTATCAAATCAGACAATCCACATTATCTGCTTTGAGCTGGATTATCTGAGTCTACACTGCCATATAATCCAGTTCAAAACAGATAATCTGGATTTTATATGGCAGTGTGGAAGGGGCCTAAGACTTGCCCAAGGTCACACAGTGGTTTTCTAAGACAAAGCACTCACACCCTGGTTTCCAGAGTCACAGCCTAAACTTCTACATCGCTCAAACTACTACATCCTGCATTTTTTTCATATTTCTTGTTTGAAAGGCTATTGATAAAAGCCTTTGAAAATCAGACATCTCAGAAGTTTTAGATTTGGATAAAGAAGATTTGCCTTTCAAACAAAAAATATATTTCTAGGATTCAGTAAAAGCTACTTATTTTAACATTTAAAACCATACACAACCTAGCTGCCTTCATCTTTCATCCCTTATTTCTTATTTACTGGCTCAAAATCTGTTTTCTGAAGATCCTAGGCTTTTCATTCATCCAAAGATTTCCTTGGATCAGCTTCATCCTTTTTCACTTGCTGTTCCATACTCTTGGAACTGGCTTCCTGAACATTTACGGGCTGCTTCTTCCCTCACTATTTTTAAATCTCAGTGAAAAACTTCCCTGTTTTCTAGTGCTTTTGGAATTTTAGTTTCACATTTTTTTAAAAAAATGTCTTATGTTTTGATTATGTGTATCAGTCAGTTGTCTTATATGGTATTGTATTTTTTATTTTATCTGGAAAATTTGTTTTACAGTTGTATTCCTTGCCTCTGTATATGTATCTGTATACATATATATTTTACACCGTACACTCTTAGCAGAACCCATTGTTATTGGTTGCTTTTTAGAAAGCACTATGCACATTGGTAGCACTATATAAATCAGCTGTCATTATCATCACCACCACCTTTGAGTTGTGTTCCAGTATTGCCAGTGGCAAATGGTAACTGCCATGTCAGTGATGAACTTAATCTAGTCTCTGGGATTTTGTTTGAGTATTAATTGAGCCATCCAGGGTGCTGAACCTTATAATCAAATCTGATTTAGCATGTTGGACAAACTCCTTCAATTTTGGACTACAGTCCAGAGCTGATATACTCCATTGATATATGAGCCACTGACTGCTACTAAGTACTGCTGTGATCTCCACCCAACTGAATCCAGAAGTCCTAGTTTTGGAGCCATACTTACACTCATTGCTCATTTGAAGTTGTGTATGCAGTTTTTTCACTTCTGAAGGAAGCTTCAATTCTAAATTGCCAGAGGAAATACAAACACATGCATTATTACAAAAGACCATAGAGATGTTTCAAAGGGACCAGGGTGCTTTTTAGGGGAAAGGGGAACTATTAGTACCATCACTTAAAGGCATTATGTATCTGTCAAGGAAAAAAGTTGGATCAAAACTTTGGGACAATATGGGAGGGTTACCAGTTACCCTTCAGTTACCTTGAAGAGATCTGCCATTTGTCCTCCTCTGAATATATCCCAAACACCTAATGTTTCCCTTCCAAGTACTAAGCCTGTTTGGTTTGTAAGATCAGGCAGGATCTGATGCTCTTAGGGTATTTTAGGTGATTAGCAATTTTAAGCCAGACAGTTCACAAAACCCAGTTGGATTGGTGATGGATTTTTTCTTCAAGAAGGATTTGAGAGGACATCTATGCACTTGGAAGCCACCATTTAGCTTAAGGCATGCAGGGCAAACTGCAAGGCACACAGCTCTTTCTACCATCTTTCCTCCAACACCCTCCCAATGGTGAGATAATTATTTAACTTATCCCAGTGTAAGGACCTATTCTGCACATTCTCTTTGTAGGATTAAATTTGAACTCTCTTCCAAAGCTCTGTACACATGATGGCTTTGATCACAATCTCAGTCATTCAGGGACGTGTGTGTGTCTTGAAACTGGACATTTCCTGAACATGACAGCAAGAAAAATAGTCTGTCCAAAGCATGGGAGTATGTGTTGAAGTGAGGTTCAGCTTAATATATGATGTGCTCAGTTCTGAGGGATATTTTGATGTCTATGTTGCACAGGAACCATTGTGGTGTTTTTGCCTCAGGTACAAAACCTGGGAATTCCCCCAATTCACTTTCCACCCTTTTAGCAAATTATCTTCCCCACCCCACAACTCCACATAAGTCTTTTTCATTCTTCCTGAAGTGGATGCTAATAATCAATGGGGTAGATTATAGCTCACCCTCATTTGCAGAGTACCTGCCTTGTACCACTATTGACTGGCCAGTTTGGAGGTGTCTGAGATTCTGCTTTCTACAGTGGGCTTATGTAAGTGAAGGCCTTCCCCTCTTTTCCTTCAGAGTACTATGAGGAAAAAGTCAGTTCTTGTTGGATTATGAGTAGCCTCCTTTCCCCAAAAACAGCAGTGGGTGGCTAGCAGCAAAAGTTTCAGTTTTTGGAATATTTCCAATGTCCGGATAAGGGACACTCAACCTGTAGAGAATTATGTGGATGATGGTGTGGAACCATTGTTCGGTTGCAGAGTATTTTATCCCTGAAACATGCATTTCCATTTTTAAAAAGAAATATGTGCGGTATACCTTAACAAGCAGGTCTCCTAAGAAGCTTTAGAAGTGTTGACAGTCAGAAGAGATGTTCTGGGGCAGAATGGTCCAACAATCTGATTTATTTTAAGGCAATTACTTCTATGTTGTTTCCTCTCATACTGGGTCTTATATTCTGCTAGCTCTGGTGAAAATGGATACCCACACTGACTCAGTAATGAGTCATTGACTATTCCATAGTTCCACAGTTTTGAGCAGGCAAATTGTAAGAATGTGAGTGAAAAGCATTCCTCCTGCATTATTTATGGAAGGTATTGAAGCAATTAAAAAAAAACTAAAGTAGTTTAATTACCATTGGAGATCACAATCCCAAACAATATGATGATCAACAGGTAAGAGAGCCCCAGCAGCAGATAAACCAGAAAAGGGGTTTTTGGGATCCATTGGAAAAGGTCTTTAAAAAAGAGAAGAAAGAGAAGGTAAAATATTGCCTGAAACACCTCCCTAACACTTGTGCTTTGAAGGCAGATGTATCTACACTAAAGTCACTGGCAAGGTAGAAACAATATGATGAAAAGACCACCCTACTGGCTTTGCATTTTGCATCATGAAGAAAATTCCCCTTCAAGAACAATATTTACTTGTCCTAGAACTTTCATTGATACCTTTTCTGTGGACAAAGAAAACTTTTAACATAGCAAGAGATCTAACCATTCAGTCAGTGTATGAGCCTGGCAAAATAGATTTTCCAAATGGAATAAAGGATAGAGTTCCTGTCTCTTTAAACACTGAGTAGAAGAGGCAACTTAAAGCAAACAACAACATGCACAATTTGTTGTTCTAACTTTCAGAAACATTAACTCTCAGAGCACAACCCTGGAGTACCTTAGTGCCTTTGCATTATATGCACAGCAATCCTACTGAAGTACATCTCTAACTAACATTTACCTCTTGTTCCTGGTGCCATGGGCATTTCAGTCTCCACTGGATATATTTGGTCTGTGTCTTTCTGATGCTCATAAGCAGCACCACTTAGAACGGACATGCTCTTGTGTTCAAGTATATCCCCTCCTTTTGGTTTCTGCAATGTGACTAGAAAATTGAGGAACTCTTTCCAGGAAACACAACACATGAATCTCTGCTGTCTTCTTGCTGCTTAGAAAGGCCAAAGGAATGTACCCACCCCTATCTTCCAATAGATTCAGAGGTTAAATCTGTATCAGACCGTACTCATCTATTAGAATTGAGGACATGTCCCCCTTAAGGAAATTTTATGTTACATTACAATCACTCATTTGACCTCCTTCATTTGGTTCTGTTAAAAGTCTATCTATCCATATATCATGTCAACCTCTCCAATCTGGTCATTTTGGATTTATGGGAGTGAGAGAACAGGTTTAATACAAGAGGTCTGAGAGATATGTCCTTGTTTGTGCAGTCACATACTTTGTGGAACTTCTGTAGTGAACATAAACCTATCTTACATAGAAGCTCTATCCAGCCCAGGTCCCTCTAGCTCAGTGGTTCTCAGCTTTTGGTCTTCCAGGTGTTTTGGATTTCAGCTCCACAATTCCTAACAGCTAGTAAAATGGCTGGGATTTCTGGGAGTTGATGTCCAAAACACCAAAGATTGGGAACCACTGTTCTAAGCAGTGGCAGTCTGAGCAGGGCTTTGGCTTGTCTGGCAAGTCAACCCACCTTAAACATTGGACAAGTGCTCTCCCCCTTTTAAACATAATATATGATGAAGGAAATTCCTCAGATTCTCTAGCTGGTTTTCAAGTAAATATGTTTTACCTAATATTGCATTGTCCAGTCACTAAATCTATGATTTCTATAAGTTGTAAAAATGTATCCCGCTTGGACCCAGTAAAATTTAAAACTCCTACAGAGAAGGGCCTTGAAAATGAAGCATTAGAAGGTATTAATCTGTCTCCACAAATCATCAAAGAACAAGTCATATTGGAATTGTTTTCTTGTGCTTTGAACTTTAATGTATTAAAGCTATTGCTGAATGATGGTGAGAATATGGATTCCAGCTGCAAGAAATGCATAATGTATAGCACTTCCCCATTGTGTGTATTAAATATTCTGGCATCCAACAGACTTCCTGGCAAGGTATATGATAATCTTTATGAACTTTATAAAGTCATCAACACCCTATCCGTTACTCAGGTTCAATGTGAGAGGACCTTTTCAAAGCTAAAGATCACGAAGGCAAAGCAAAGAACATCACTGTGTGAGAAGAACCTGGCATCATATATGTTGTTATTAAATGAAAACGGTTAGAAGAATTGGATGGAGAAGCAATTATCGACAGTTTTGCACAATCGAGTGAACTGAAACTATTATTCTTTTTGCTCTTAATATAGTGGACTGTATGAAAGTACTATGAAAAGTGTTCAGTACGAGCAGACTATTTAAAAATAACCATTTATTTCATTTTTTAAAAAAAATCAATGATAAGAATCTATAACTATTTATATATAGTATCTACAATATATTGCCAGTAATATGTACATCACAAGTACTAAAATATACATTTATTTCATAATGATTTTAATTGTACTTTTTCCACTTATAAATTGTTAAAATTATTTATTTCTTATAAAAATTAAATCATAACCTTATAGTTGTGCAAGGATCCAGTTAATATCCTGGCAGCCAATATATTTAGGCCCAAGTGTTGCACTCCAGGCAGGGAAAGCCCTCTGACTTTAAACACCACACAGCTGAGTAAAAATGCAAGCAGTTTATTGAAGATATTTTTAAAGCAGTAGCAGTAAAAAGCAATCCACAGAAATAGGTAAATCGAATTAGGTAGAAAGATAGATAGAAACAAATAGTCCAGGAAATTAGTCCATCAGAGTTCATGAAAACAAATACTGAAACTTCCAAGGTAAAACTCTAAAACTTGAACATGAATCAAACAAGGCACTTAGCACAGGAATCTATCCAAGGCAAGGCTTCAAGGGACCTGGGACAACGTCTTGACTCAATTCCAACGTTGCTTCATCTGGCTACAGATTCTGTACTTGGCTCTTTTATCCCCTAATCTACTCTATATCTCAAGTGGCCAGGAATGGATTTCTTTTCAGCCTTGACTCTGTTATCAATCTCTCTCGCAATCTGGCAGAATGCCTGAGAGCTTGGTTTGTTTGTCTGTGCTGACTGAAAGTATTTATCCTATCTATTGGCTCATTAATTTCTGCAGCTGGCCCAGGTGCCGAGCTTTTCTCAGGCTCAAAACCTTGGGAATTTCCTGGTAACAATTCAGGCCTAGGGACCATACCATCATCCCCAAACCCTTCAGAAACATTCTCGTTAGAAAAATCACTTTGAACAGGGATCCCATTATGATTCTCTGCATCTACAGCAACCTCATCATTAGAAATATGAACCTCATTGTCACTCCCAACATCCAGAGTATCCTGATCATTAGACATAATCACGGGCTGAACACCAAGCCCATTATTGTCTCTAGCTGGTTTTCTCTCCAAGGTTTCAGGCAGGCATTTCTTCAGGCACTCCTATATACCACTTTTAACTGCAGAGGGAGTGTGAACGTGGTTTTGTGCTGGTTTTAACCTACAAAACCCTATACGGTTCCGGCCCAGTTTACCTGTCTGAACGTATTCTCCCCATGAACCATCAAGATCATCTGGATAGGCCCTGCTCTCGGTCCTGCCATCTTCGCAGGCGCATCTGGTGGGGAAGAGAGACAGGGTCTTTTCTGTAGTGGCCCCTCAGCTATGGAATTCCCTCCCAAATGGAATTAGATCTGCCCCCTCCCTCCTGACCTTTAGGAAGCTAGTGAAAACCTGGCTGTGCAACAAAGCTTTTGTGAAATGATGTCTGAGACCGGCAATCGACTAATGGTACTGATTACAATATATGGACTGGACATACGGACTGAGTTGGACACGATTTTATCTTGGCGAAAAGCTTTTATGTAATTTTATGTAATTTATGTAATGTAATTGGTAACTTAATGTTGTGTATTATGTTTTAGATTTTCAGTGTTAGCATTGAATCTTTGCTGTTAGCCGGTCTGAGTCCCTCTGCAGAGGTAGAGAAGATTGGGATATAAAAGTTTTAAATAAATAATAAATAAATAATTGATGCATGCAGAATCTATGCTGCTGTCCTTTTGCATGACCTCCTCCCTCAGGAAACTCATGGGATGCAGGATAGATGTATCAAAAATATTAATGAGGCTATCTGAATATCAGGACCATCATGCACAGCTATCATGCTATCTGACTTTGTTGTACAGCATGAAAAAAATCTTGGTATCCAAGATGGGTTCCAATTTAATGGGACCGGCCTTCCTTCCCTCCCTTCCTCCCTCCCTCCCTCCCTTCCTTCCTTCCTTCCTTCCTTCCTTCCTTCCTTCCTTCCTTCCTTCCTTCCTTCCTTCCTCCCTTCCTCCCTTCCTCCCTTCCTTCCTTCCTTCCTTCCTTCCTTCCTTCCTTCCTTCCTTCCTTCCGATATAGTTAAATAGCACTGTCAGAATCATTCAGTTATTTCAGATTTCTGTACTATGGATAGCCAAAAAGGGAAAATATTTCTGAAAAGAAATTAGTTGGAATATTAACAATTAAACTGTCATACTTTGGACATATAACAAGCCATAGGATTCATTGGAGAAGATGATAATACTTGGTAAAGAAGGTAGGAAAAGAGGAAGACCATAGTACAGATACAATGACTCAATTGTAAAAGCAACAATCCAAGTCTGCAAGAACCTAAGCAGGACAGTTGATGTGGTGTTGGAGGTTTCTTTTGACCTGGAAATGATGAAAACTATATATTTTGATATGAACTTCTATGCCTACTATTAGCTGGATCTCCTTACTCAGTACCTTCACATATCTCTCATTCCTCACTTGGGGAGGGAATCAAATACCAGAAATCCTTCAACCCTGCTTAAACAGGGCTGCGATGCCTGATCCATGCTAAGAGGTGCTGTATTGTTTTAAACTGGATTGTTGTTACGGCTTTTTATCTTTTAATGGCATTTTATTGTTTACAATGTAATGAGGTTGTACATCATTTTAAATGGAGAAGGAACAAGATGGGAGAGAAGGCAGGCATGTAGTTTAAGAGCTCCCAAATTTTCCGACTTTCTTTTGCCATATAATTTCCTAAAGCCTCCCACAGCTCACACCAAAATTGCCACACCAATTGCCACAGAGCAAGATACAATATGAGAGAACTGCAACAGCGAAGGAAGATTTCTGACTACGCTAACATCCCCGCTAAACACGAAAGAGCTATTGAATATGCCAAGTAAGCAGAATATTTCTTCAACTAGTCAAAGAGTGAAAGGAGAACAGGAAAAAAACCCACACAATTCTTCTTACCAAAGTGAGAGAACAGAAGGACAAGCAGCTATTTAAAACAAACTCACTAGTCACCAATACTCAGGTAGAACTACCAGTTGCCATACAAAATGAACTGCAGAATGCCAATGTGAACTTAAGGGAAGGCCCAACACCCTTGAACTTGGCAGTGGAAATTGCCTTTACTGAGACTAGGCTAATTGAGAAAGGTGCACAAGCTTCCCCAAAAGATTCCTTGACCTTGGATTTGGTATACGTTATTCTGGGTTTTATTTTCTGAACACATTTTCCCCAACCCAACTTAGATATGGGATGTTTACTTCGTTCTCTTATTGTGTATTGATTTACTACCTCACTACCTCATGAAGTCTGACTTGGCCGGACTGGTCCATGCCTTGGTTACATCCAGACTGGACTATTGCAATGTGCTGTACGTGGGGGTGCCCTTGAAGACGGCCCAGAACTTTCAGCAGCTAGGCTCATTACTGGAGCAAACTATAAGGAGCATACAACGCCCCTATTAAAACAATTTCATTGGCTGCCGATAAGTTGCTGAGCCAAATTCAAGGTGCAGGTCATGACCTATAAAGCCCTAAACCAGTTCGGGCTCCACCTATCTCCGTGAGGAGGGGTCGCGAAGGGGTGTCAGAGGGGTCTCCAAAGACCATCAGAAAACACAGTATTTTCTGTTGGTCATGGGGGTTCTGTGTGAGAAGTTTGGCCCAATTCTATCATTGGTGGGGTTCAGAACGCTCCTTGATTGTAGGTGAACTA